CCACATGCGAAGCCGTTGAGTTTATTTCCTACTACTTTCTTTGGAACTGTTTGTGTTTGATAAAGCCCATGTGCACTGGGAATCTTATTTCATCCATTTACAGTATCTTTCCTTTTCACAACTCCGAACCATGTCTTTTAGTAAATATCCTTGGACACAGTGGTGGAGTTTTGATGTGAACCTCTTCATTGTTTTGTTGTCCATTTCCCTAATAAAATCATCCTTCTGTGGTTTTCAGCTGGTGAGGTCTCCTCTTCCTCTGGGTCGTCTCCCGCCTGACCTGAACACCATCTCTTTCCCGTCTGGCTCTGCCTCCCCTCTTCCCTCGCACCGAGTCCAGGCCTAAAGATATCCAGAATCCTCCCCGCCTTTCCACCAGCTTTGATCACTGCAGTCTTCCAGTTTGAACTGCACCATGGCAGGGAGAGGTGGACCAGCCCGAACCAATGGCACTCCAGCAAGCAACAAGATCTGCCAGTTCAAGTTAGTGCTGCTGGGAGAGTCTGCAGTCGGGAAATCCAGCTTGGTGCTGCGCTTCGTCAAAGGCCAGTTTCACGAATACCAAGAAAGCACCATTGGGGGTTAGTTTTTTGTTTGTTTGTTTGTTTCCTCAGAAAGACCTTCTCTGAGTCAACCTTCAGGTTTTTTTCAGAGCAGCTGAAAAAAAATCTCTATCAAAGGCAGAGCTATTTTTGTCCCTTGATTGATGGATAAACATCTCAGTAGTTGATTACTTAATGTAACATACTGCACCTGAAGTATTAAATGACTCGAAAATGATGTCAACCTTAACTTGGTGTCAACAATCTTACGACACCTACTGTTGTTTTTTTTGTAAACAAATCAGGTCGAAAAGTAGAAAACAACGGTAGAGCGAAGCAGTTGATGGGTCTCTTATGTGGTTTAAATGTAGTAGCAGAACCAGTTGAACATCTTGACTCATGCAAGCATCCAAGATCTGTAACCAAATGACGTGTGCGTTGATTTCTCTGGAAGTCGGTGAAAGTTCATGAACAATTATCAGATATCAATTATCACTGTAATCACAAAATATTTAAAAAAACAAAACAAACAATGAATCTGGACTATGTTACTCTGTCTGTTACCTCGATAAGCCGTGTGTTCTTTACATTTTGTCGACTTCATCCCGAGGGCATCTGCGGTTAACTATGTGGTGTGTTTAAAGTACAAACCAAAGAGCTGTTAGAGAGCCAACAGCGGCAGGTTTCCTCTTTTGTTTACATGTTGGATTTAGCACAGGTGTGTGAGTGAATGCACGTTGCATGACTAATGATGACTCCACTTTTTGGTGGCTGTAGAAAACCGACTTAATTCTTGCACAAGTGTTTGGTTGTGTAACACCTGAGGAACCGACTTAATTCTTGCACAACAAGTGTTTGGTTGTGTAACACCTGAGGTTCTTATTGCACTGTTTTGTCAGTAGGTTTATTCCTGAACAACTGGACTTGTATCCATGACTCATGTTCAAGTTGTAGGGCATTCAATTTCAGAGCAGCTGTGTTAAAGAGGTGGGGGAAGGATTTTTATTTTTCCCCCCTTCTTTTCTTCATATTACAATAATGGGCGTTAGCAGGAGCAATGCTGTGGTAACGGTTTCTGTTTAGCAGTCATTTTGTTTATGAAGTTTGTCTTAAAGAGGCATGTATAGTTAGGGACACATTTTAGACCTACTAACAAATTTTAATTATATATATAAAAAAATTCCACGTTGCTTTTATATAAAGATGTTAATTTAATTTTACACTTACAGAGCATAAAAACCAATGATGTGGTTGGAAAAAATTACAGGAACAGCACAAGAACAATATGTATGACTGACAAGTAAGGTGAAAAAGTTTAAAGACAAAAGCCATAACACATCTGTAGCTTTTCTAAATATATATTTTCCACTATATTGTAGACTACCTAAAATCTCTGTTTTCAGATATGCTTGTTTAAAAGAAAGTATTTGGTGTAAAAGCACCAGAGAAATCACCTGAATTAAATAAAAAACAAGAAAAGAAAATAATGATAATAATAATAATAAAGAGGGAACCATGTATACATCAGTAAATTAAAATAACCAACCAAGTATAACCTGAGTTCCATTGAGTAAAGACACACTGATTAAACAGCTACAAATGTTCTATAGGTCCTAAATACATGTCTTATCTCTGTGCATCTGGTTGCCTTTATTTATCATGGCTGCAGGATGTAAGGACAGGATGCCGAGTGCTTACACTCACCAAAAGGGCTCAATTCTAGTCAGCACTTTTTCAGCTGCAGGCCTGGTGAAAGATTACAAAGTTTTAAAGTGTTCTTTCTCCTCGGTCATGTGACGGGTCGACTGTGTCTAAAGCAATTCCCGTTCTTTATAAACACAGGACGTACAACATTAACAGCATACAATGTGTTTGTTTTATTCTACAATGTACTTTGTGTAATATTGTTAAATATTATGTTGCAACATATACAGTAAGCTGAACCCTGTTTTTGTTAATTATTCAAAATAATAGAAATGTGAGAGCAACATAGTGGTAAAAAGTACTTAGCTAGTACATCTGGGTATATTTGTAAAATAATTTTCATGAAATAGAGTGTTTTTTCAGAAAGAAATATACCCATGTTACCATGGTTCATGAAATAGAGTGTTTTTTCAGAAAGACTAATAGTACAATTAAAAGCGCAGTAAAAGCAAAGTACAAGTTCTAATGTTTCATGTACTCATCTCTAGGTCTGGTCAGATTTGTCAAAATTTGCGATAGCTAGATATGATTTTTTTTTGTGTGTGTAACCGGATGTGTTTCATACTGTTTCAGCTGCCTTCCTCACACAGACCGTATGTTTGGATGACACAACAGTAAAGTTTGAGATCTGGGACACTGCAGGACAGGAGAGATATCACAGCTTGGCTCCCATGTACTACAGGGGAGCTCAGGCTGCAATCGTGGTGTACGATATCACAAACACAGTAAGTAACCCGGGACTACGCTGGAACATCATTAAGTCATGTGTAATTGTGTTATCGATGCTTTCAGCCTGGGTTGAGCAGGCGGCTGTGATGTAAAATGGAACATTTGCGTCAGTGATTTTACAGAATTTCATGTCTTTTTCATCAGGATACATTTACACGTGCGAAGAACTGGGTGAAAGAACTGCAGCGGCAAGCCAGCCCAAATATTGTCATTGCACTGGCAGGGAACAAGGCAGACCTGGCTAACAAGAGGGCTGTAGAATTCCAGGTAGAACAGAAACAGTGTCAAAAGTGTTAGTGCTATTGAAATAGTTTGATTAATGAATAGAAATTCCTTCCTTGTTTTTTTTTTTGTTTTTTTGTTTTTTTAGGAAGCACAATCATACGCGGATGATAACAGTTTGCTGTTTATGGAAACCTCAGCCAAGACTGCGATGAATGTCAATGAGATTTTTATGGCTATCGGTAAGTAATAAACACAATGACACACATTGCATGACCATCACATTTCACTAATGCCAGGTTTAATAACATAATAAATGCTAGATGTTACATCATGGTATGTGGAAAGTAACATTTTAAAAATGATCAAAAAGTTAAGATGTCAGTGTCTTGATCAGGTACTACATATATTGAAGTTACTGTTATGTGTTATTTATTTGTCATTAATGTATGATAGCGGTGCTTTGGCCCAGAGGCAATGTCTCTGTCATTGGTGTGGAACCTCAGGGTTCACCTCCTGGGCAAGTTTGAATCCCGGTTAGGGCGGTTGGTACCTTCCAGTGGACTCACCACCTGCAGGAAGGTTTAGGGGGGGTTGGTACGGTGCATGGATGGATGGATAATGTATGATACTCTCATCCCACGACAGCCAAGAAGCTTCCTAAGAATGAGCCTCAAGGAGGAGCTGGTGCCAGTGGACGAGTCAGAGGTGGAGTAGACCTGCAGGAAGCCCAACCACAGGGAAGAAGCAGCCCGTGCTGTGGAGGTGGGAACTAATGGACTAAACGCGTCAGCTGATCCAAACAATCCACAGCTTCTATCAAGTAGACCAGATGTCAGGTGTCCAGCAACATCCCATGGTCTAACCATGCCAAAGCATGGTCTCACCATCTCTACTCTCAGCGCCTATCAGCTGTTTGGCAAAAAAAAAAGAAAGAAAAAAAGATATCACTGGCCAGAAACCAGCCAGGCCCTGACCAATGGTGTATAAACCAATCAAAAGAGCAAGAAATGAAATCAACCTAAAATCATGATTGTGCCCTGGAATTTTCTAGTCTACGGACATGTGACATCACATTATTGGAAAAGAAAGTTCCACTTCTGAAAGAAGGAAGGAAAACGAGATGTAATGTCACCTGTGGCATTTTTTTTGGGCCATGCTATCGCAGGTTTGTTCTATGTTTGTCTGGGAAAGAAAGATTGACAGGAAGGGGGAAAGAATGTTAACAGTCCTTCAGGATTTTAGCCTTTCCTTTCCACACTTTGCTTCCTCTGACATATTTCTATCATGATCCTGTGACACTTCTGAAACCTGAATAAAAGTGCATGTTTTTCATTTTATGTCTTGTTTATGGCCTGCTTTCTAGACGAGATTAAAAGAGAAAGTTGTTGATGGTCCATGGAAATGAGCAATTGTTTCCTTCTTGGTAGAGAGCTGTGTAGATTGATTGATTTAATGACACCACTTTTATTACAGCTTTGACCTTTTATGCCTGTTCAGTACAAGGGGTCACAATAATGTTTTTCAACCTTCAACCTGCTATCAAACCATTAAATTTTTTCCAGTATGAGTACTTTAAGCATTAATGTCTTTTTCTTCAATCATCAGTGTACCATAACGAGTACACGTAGCTAGATTTATTTTCATGACCAAAACTACAACCGTGTATCAAAAACATATCACTGGATTTGTATGAGACTGTTCAACTTGCTAATCGATCAATAGTTATTATCAAAACAATCCTGATCTCATCTCTACGTGCACTTAATAATTTTTTTGTCATACTTTTTTTCCTAAATATCTAAGGTATTAAATGCACTGGTTTCTGTCTCATTATGTCATGTGAATTTCAATGTAATTGGTTTTCGTTTTTGCTTTCACTTTCTTTTTGCAGTTTATATCAGGGAGGGGATTTCCATTCAGCTGTCATGTTGTTGCGGCTTCAGCAATTAGCACAAAACTACCCGTAACGGCAGCCACTGCTGTTAGGTAGAGGATCATGGGAAGTGTGGGGTCGAGGGGAGAGATGGTGGAAAGATGTAATTTTATGAATAAACCAGGACATTATCTTCTTTGTATTGTTTTTTTTTTTTTGATTAATAATCAAACCAAATGTTAGTAAGTAAATGTGTAATTTGTACCGATTGGTTAGCCTTTGACCACTTTGCCTCTGGATCATCTTCAACTAATATAAAAAAAACATTTAATGTTAAATATTTAGGATTAAAATGATTACTAAAAAAAAGTGATGGAATGTAGTCAATCTGAATGCGATTGTTGAAACTAACCACTAGGTATAATAATGTAAATGTTAACTTTTGTAAATTATGAGAACAAAAAAGTGTGTTTATTGTTTGAATTTATATTTATGGAATTTATTTTTATGTCAGAAATTGTCCAAAATGATGACCCTATTGGATAATGTGTTGCAGTTTTTAATGCCGTCCACTAGGTGGTAATAAGATGGAAAGATGAGAATTCTACATACTTATGTAAATGATTTAAAAACCACAGCATCGTAAAATATTATCCAACCAGACTGTTGTTGCTTCTAATCATGTTATATTTCATATATGTGAGTAATTGGAGATGTGCTCTATGACTAAAGAGAAAGTTCAAGAGTATTTTTGATGTGCATGACAAATGCCAGTTAGGACATTTTGGTGTAAATACAAATGTAGTTTCAGTGTAAGGCCAGTATAAGTCTCCCTGTGCTCCCCAAATGATGTTTTAGGTTAAGTAAAATAAGGTGAGATGTAAAGTACAATTTGGTTAAAACATTTAATCATTTAAGGTTAAAATATGTATGGGTTTGTTCAGGGGTATGGGTGTGTTTATAAAATCAGTAGTAGAATAATTCCAGAATCAACTTCCACCAAAGTTGAATTCTGAATTATTGTATAATTTAATTAAAATTTCACCCAAGCCATCCATCCATCCATCCATCCATCCATTTTCATCCGCTTATCCGTTACCGGGTCGCGGGGGCAGCAGTCGCCACCCAAATCACATTGCACCGTATCAACCCCCCAAACCTTCCTGCGGGTGGTGAGTCCACTGGAAGGTATTAACCTCCCTAACCGGGATTCGAACTTGTCCAGGAGGTGAACCCTGGGGTTCCACACCAATGACAGAGACATTGCCTCTGGGCCAAAGCGCCACTTCACCCAAGCCTTTTATCGCAAAGTACATGGTGCCTTTTAACAATTCTCCGACGGTCACTGAACGCAGCACGGGAGGCTAACCCAGAGCAGAGCGAGAACGAGTCAAGCAGCGTGGATATGTCGGATCCGGCGTCGCAGGCCCTGCAACCTCGGCTCCCCCAAACCCAGTCTACTGGGTCAGCCGGTTCCAGTACTGCCGTCGCTGCTTCCACGGGCTCCGGACAAGGACACAGTGACCCCGCCAGACCTGGACTTAGCCAGCAACAGCGTGCGAGCCAGAAGAAAGCCCAAGTTCGAGCGTTTCCACGCGCAAAAAAGCTCGAGAAACTTGGCGTGTTTTCTGCATGCAAGGTAGCTAAGCTAGTTAGCCTAGCGTAGGTTGGCTAAAGTTGAGCATAACAAAGCACCGCTTGGCCACTGTTAGCATTAGTGTTAGCACTGTCAAGACTTCGCAAACACCTAGTTGTCAACAATTACCCGAACGAACTATCGCATTTGGTGTAAATGGAAGTTTTTTTTAGCTTAAGTCCCTCGCTTTGTAACCGCACGCTGTTTGTTATTGAATCTCAGTGAATTGACCATTAACGAGTGATTTAGTTAATTCATTCATTGACGTCCACAGCCATCACAACAGTTGCAGTATCTGCTAACGTGAGCTTGGTTATTTTGTGAGACTGTATGTTTACCTTCCTACCAGGCCATCGACACATGCAAGTGCAATGGATGGAAAAACCCAAATCCTCCGTCAGCTCCACGTATGGACATGCAGCAGCAGGCAGCCAGTCTGAGTGAGCCCTGCCGCAGCTGTGGACATGCCTTGGGTACAAACAGCCTCGACACCAGTCTTCAGCATCCCAAGCTGTGTTTGACAGCAGTCTGCTTAATATTATTCTCCCTCTGCAGCTGATCATGTGTCCCACCTGGAGAATGTCTCCGAGGATGAGATTAACAGGCTGCTGGGGATGGTGGTGGACGTGGAGAACCTTTTCATGTCTGTGCACAAGGAGGAGGACACTGACACCAAACAGGTCTACTTCTACCTTTTCAAGGTGAGACAGCAGTCCTTTACAATTCCAGAATTGGTTGTTATGTTGACGTAAACAACAGGTCACAGGCAACATTTTTATGAAAACAACTGAATGGAGCATCCCTATTAAATAACTCGCACTGTGCATTGACAGTTTGTGATGCTAGTTTTTGAGGAACTTGCATTAATTGTGGATTTAACTTGTTTTGTGTGTTATGACCATACAAGGGAGTGAATGTGCAAATTGGTTTTACGCCATAATGTGTGACACAGTGCACAAAATTGTGACATATGTATTTCATTTGCGAGTGCTGTGGCAACCTCTGACAGGAAGAAAAGAAAGGATGTGATGCACATCATCTACGTCAAAAAGCATGTGTTTATAGTAAATTGAAATGTCGCAGCATAAATTCCAAATTATGATTGCACCGGAAACAATACTGTACCTAGCATAGCAACATTTTAATAGAACAAATCTAAAGCATCTGTCCAGTACCAGCTTGACAAGAAAGCAAAACCAAATTTGAGAGATTGGATGTGTTGTTTTAATCTTGTTCTACACTTCCTGCATTGACATTTAAATTACTGTTCTATCATGAATTACCGTATATACTCAAAATTGATTCTGTTTTTGTAGAAATATTTATTTTCTTATTACTAAAATAATAATCTTCCCTTAGCTGCTGAGGAAATGCATCTTGCAAATGAGCCAACCAGTCGTGGAGGGATCCCTGGGAAGTCCACCCTTTGAGAAGCCAAACATTGAGCAGGTAATTCTGTGCAGATTCTGCTGCTGCACATGATGCAAAGCTTCAGAAACAGTTGAATAATCAGACCTTTCTCCATAAACGTTTTGTGTAATTAATTGTGTCTTAACGTGTTTTTCCCATGTTTGTGTTTCTTAGGGAGTTTTGAATTTTGTTCAGTACAAGTTCAGCCACCTTGCACCGAAGGAAAGACAAACCATGTTTGAACTTTCAAAGATGTTCCTCTTGTGCCTCAATTACTGGAAGCTGGAGACGCCGTCGCAGTATCGCCAGCGCACGCAGAAAGACGATGGCACGGCATACAAAGTAGACTACACAAGGTGTGGGCAGTGTTAGCTCGTAGTGCCGAATACTTCAGTATGTATACATTTTGCAAAACTTCGTGGTGTTTTTGCCCATGTCCTGCAGGTGGCTGTGCTACTGCCACGTTCCACAGAGTAACGACAGCCTCCCGCGCTATGAAACCACTCAGGTGTTTGGCCGCAGCTTGCTCAAGTCCATCTTTACGGTGACTCGACGTCAACTCCTGGAGAAGTTCCGAGTGGAGAAGGACAAGCTGCTGCCAGAGAAACGGACGCTGATCCTCACACACTTTCCTAAGTAAGGGCTGATTTCTGCCTCAGTGTGTCAACAAAGATCTGCTCCGTTAGTGTTGCATGTTGACATCCTTGTCTGGTGTTTCTGAAAGTAGGGAGCAGGCTCCCCCTTGGGGACACTGTAATATTTCAGTATTCATAGTGACACAGTGGGGAAAAAGTCATGAATGTATCGATGCATGGGGGTCTGTGGAAAAGTTCTGACTGAAGTGATTTGAGTGTTAATCCCAGATGTAATGATACACTCAACTCATGATATCGTGTTTGCGATTTCTTAAAACAGTTTGTGTCTGTGGAAATAGTTTCTTCCCACCTTCTGTTTGAAACCTAAATGTCACTCAGGCTATTTAAGGACCTTTGGGTTTGTTTTAATAGCTGGTCATAACAGACATTTTTAGGCTCATACTGCCACCTACTGTACTACAGTGTGTAGTCTCAAAGTATGACCACTGACTCCATCTGCTCACACCTCGATGCACGATTCATGTTTATATCGGTGTTAAATTCATTTGTCGTGCTCTTGTGCGTCTTTAATACTTCACTTGTTGTGACATCAGGTTTCTGTCCATGCTGGAGGAGGAAATATACGGCGAGAACTCACCCATCTGGGAGGCTGACTTCACCATGCCGGCCTCTGATGGCACACAGCTGGGACAGACAGGTGAGAAGGATGGAGAGTCTGAGCTTTAGACGTTTCTGAGGACAGATTATTGCATGACCTCTGAGGAAGAAATATTGGTAAATACTTTAGAGAGAGCAGTTATTGAACTCTACCTCACGTTTCCCCCTGTTGTAGTGGTCAGTCCCGCTGCAGTGCCTGGGTCGCCTGCTCTTATGAAAGGCATGAGCAGCATCTCCACTTTGGGCGGCATGGACACGGCAGGTTCAGAGCCCATCACAGGTACTTGTTAATGTTCTTATTCTTTGGTGTTTGTAGTATTTATTATTCTTCTGTTGTGCTACTGCCACCATGTGGTCGTGAACAGTAAACTTTTACTGCTCTGAGCTGAGTGTCGTTCTCCTGTTCAGGAGAAAAGCGTAAACTTCCAGAGGCACTGACCCTGGAAGATGCCAAGCGGATACGTGTGATGGGAGACATTCCCATGGAGCTGGTCAATGAAGTTATGATGACAATCACCGATCCTGCTGCGATGCTCGGACCTGAGGTGTGTTTTTTTTTTTTTTAAACCACACATATACAGAAAGGCCACATTTTTAATTTTCACTACTCTTATACAATGTTATTTTTACACCACCAGACCAACCTGCTCACACCAAACGCCGCCCGTGACGAGACGGCCAGGCTGGAGGAGAGGCGGGGCATCATAGAGTTTCACGTCATTGGAAACTCCCTTTCACAGAAGTCCAACAAGAAGATCCTGATGTGGCTGGTTGGCCTGCAGAATGTCTTCTCCCATCAGTTACCCCGAATGCCCAAAGAGTACATCACACGGCTGGTGTTTGACCCGTACGTACACCCTTTTTTTTTTTTTTTTTTTTAAATTTAAAACCCATTCTTCTGTATATGTTGTAAACCAGACCTTGTGATTTTTTTTGTAATCCTGGCATTTCTGACTTCTACAGAAAGCACAAGACTCTTGCCCTTATTAAAGACGGTCGAGTCATCGGGGGCATCTGTTTTAGGATGTTTCCCACTCAGGGCTTCACGGAGATCGTCTTCTGTGCCGTCACATCTAACGAGCAAGTCAAGGTACCTTTTTTTTTTTTTTACTTATCTTTTGCCTTTTTATAGTAATTGTAAAATAATGTATAATATTGTATAATAATTAAAAATAATAAAATATTATGGTGAAATAATTACTGCATATTAGCAGAATGGAAAGATTTTTTTTCCTGTTTGGTTTATTTATTTATCACTCAATTCCAAAAGTGGTGTCTCCTTGAAATGTTGTTTCTTTCTTTGTTGAATTCTGTGGGATTATTTTAACACTAGGTCACAGGTTTGTCTGTGCTAAAAATTCAGACTGAGTTGGCTTCAATTTTTTTTTTCAATTTAAAAAAAAGGCAAAAAAATATGTATTTTTTAAGTATTTTATTGTATATTTTTATTGTCATTATAACATCTCTCTGCCCTCCACCAATCCAGGGCTACGGTACCCACCTGATGAACCACCTGAAGGAGTATCACATCAAACACGGCATCCTGTACTTCCTCACCTACGCTGATGAGTACGCCATTGGTTACTTCAAAAAGCAGGTAGTACTGCTGCTCCCGACCCGCGCGTTACCTTTTCTCAGGACGTCTCTTTTCCGTCCGCTGCTCAGTAACTTGCTGTCCGATCACAGGGCTTTTCCAAAGACATCAAAGTGCCGAAGAGTCGTTACTTAGGCTACATCAAAGATTACGAAGGCGCAACGCTCATGGAGTGTGAGCTGAACCCGAGGATCCCCTACACCGAACTCTCTCACATCATTAAAAGACAGAAAGAGGTCTGTGGAAATTACACATGACGTCTGCCTTTTTTGTGTGTTGTTGTTGCTGAGCTACGGGGTTTAATGAAACGTCAACTTGAAACTGTTTTATCAGATCATCAAGAAGCTGATAGAGAGGAAGCAGAGCCAGATCAGGAAGGTTTACCCAGGTTTGACCTGCTTCAAAGAGGGAGTCAGACAGATCCCTGTCGAGAGTATCCCAGGAATAAGTAGGTTATCTTTCTCAAGGAATGTTAACGTGCAACTTCTACCAACAGGAAACGTCAAATAATTTCCTTCTTTTTCCCCTTCTTTCTTGTAGGAGAAACTGGCTGGAAGCCAAGTAACAAGGAGAAGTGGTAAATTATTTCTGTGTGACTTATGTGTTTAGATCAATGTCTCAATGTGTGTTTGATACGCAGCAGTAGAAATGGAGAATAATGAAGAAAACACCTGTATTTACCATATTTATGTTTCCACTGTGTTTCTCAGTCTTCATAGTCAGACAGAACAAGAGCCCAGCTATAGCTAAATATTATAATAACTAACTAAATAAGACTATTTATCTAAACTTAACTGAAAAAATAAAATAAATAGAAGTTAGTGATATATATTAGTTAGCAAAAAATACAAAAATACAAAGAAAATAGCCATAAAGAGAGCCACCGAAAGGCTGTACGTAGTAGAAAACTGTTTTCAGTTGTGTAGTGGATGTCCGATGTTAGCATAAGTATGCAATATCTATAAGAATCATTATGGGTTTTTCCTCTGATAAGAAAAACCCAATAACACCCTAAAATAGTTTTTTGGGGGAAAAAACGGCTGTATGTGAAAGTAAAAGACACTAGATGGCAGCATTGTAGCTTATTTTATTAAATCTATTTTAATATTCAGGGGATTCATTCATTGGATATCGTCAAAATGTTATTATTGGACACCCCTATTCATTAAGTATGTATTAATAACATCATTATTTGAAATATTTTTGCAGCAAAGAGGTGAAGGATCCTGATGTGTTGTACAATATGCTGAAAAACCTCTTGGCACAGATAAAGGTAAGAATCAGACATTGACAAGGAAACAACGGGCAGATTCAGGAGCACGAGCCAATGTTGAGCAACGTTTTTCGTCTCACTCTCAGACTCACCCTGACGCCTGGCCCTTCATGGAACCAGTGAAGAAATCCGAGGCTCCGGATTATTATGAAATCATTCGCTTTCCAATTGGTGAGTAAAGTAAACGGATGTCTTTTTTTTTTAACATCTTTTTTTAACGTCTTGCGCATCTGATGTTTGTCCTCACACCCAGACCTGAAGACCATGACCGAGAGGCTAAAAAATAGATACTACGTGACCAAGAAGCTTTTCATCGCCGACCTCCAGCGAATCATCACCAACTGTCGTGAGTACAACCCTCCTGACAGTGAGTACTGCAAATGTGCCAACACCTTGGAGAAGTTTTTTTACTTCAAATTAAAAGACGGTGGCCTAATCGATAAGTGAACTCAGCCGGAGAGCAGTTCAGAGACGACAGGTGACTGTCCCAGCCAACCACATACCAATCAGGAAAAATCGAACACTGGATGTCAGGCTACGTAGATAGAAAGTACAAGATGGACAAACTTCACACAGATGTTGAATGTTAAAGAGCATGAAGCAGTCGGATGAACTTTTGATTAAAACGGCATTACTACGGCGTTCAATGGGGGAAAACTATCATATATTGAACACATTTTTGTTAGATGTAACCAAAGTCACAGGTCCAGCAATGATGACAATGCTACTCCGTTCATTATTTATAGCTACAGTGTGTTGCATTTCATGATACGCCATTCCAGTTTTCTTCACGCTGCAGGTTGCTGTGTCGTGTTCCTTTTTTTTTGTTGTTGTTCTTCTTCTTGTTGTAGTTCTTGTTGTTGTTCCTCAACACAATAATTGGACCTTGGGACCTAAAGCCATGTTGCCTTGTGTTACTGACAGACACTTGAACATCCCGGTCATTTTCGTTGGCAAGTATAAGCTCACATTCAGAATTGATGTCATGTCCTGTAAACAGTTGATATACGCGTGAACAGTGGGTTGTTATAAATGTACAAGAGAGGTTTCAAAATAATCAATCACTGGGAATCTAACAACTTCAGCACTGTATCTATAAATGAAAGCGGATTTGTAAATATCATTGCAGACGTACCAATAGTTTTCTTTTACCTTTGTCCGCCATCACTTGTGTTTAGACCGTGGTTCTTAAGTGATGAAGCCCTGGGTCCATCAGTTCACCTTAAACACATTTTTTATTGGACTGTACTGTACAAAAGTATCAGCACCAAAGCCCATAAATATAATTTTATCTTCTGAAATTGATGCAAAACGTTTAACATTCCACAAACCTTTTATGTTAACTGTTGGACAGACTATCACTAGACAATATTATAACACACATTACAGTTAGCGGTTAACCCTACTCTGTTGAAGTTACAGCATATGGATAGTGTGGTCAAATGTTGGCATATTCCAATATTTCCCAACCTTTTTTAACATATGGCACCAACTTTTTGTATTGCAATACTGCTGCAGTACTGAAGTGGTCCTGCCTAAGTTGTCTACATTGTTAAATTGTATAGAAAAATGTCTCATCTTCGCCAGGTATAAAAGAGTGGAGTGACCCACAGCTATTGTGTGCACGGTAAAATTTAGTTTCCAGACCAATTCTACTTTGTGGCCAACATTTATGTTTCTATACACGTATGTCTTTTTAATGAATTTATTCACTCCCACACATATGCTTACCAGTCAGTTTCATGCTCAGCCACGTTCTTAACTGTTGTCACGTGTTTCACGGAGCTTCACATTTCAGTCCTGACCATGTTCGAGGAGAAGCTAACAGCAATTCTCACATGGCTCTAGAATAAAAGAGATGCATTTACAGCGTATTAAAAGCTGTGTCAGGTGCTTGTGCATGGCAAACTGTTTACACAAACTATCCAATCTGTACTCTCCGTTTCTCACCGGAAGCTTGTCGGTACTCTTCGAGTGCTTCCTGAGACACGTCCACACTTTTTATGGAACAGTAGTCCATGCTTTTTGAGCCTATGTAGTGGTTGTGTCAGTAACATTTTGCGTTTGTCTGTATGCGTGTGTAAGAGAGAATGAGTTCGTATGTGGGAATGTTTGATTTTGTACTTGAACCATTACAGGCTTTGATTTTACTGAAGTGATGTCAGCGTTAGCATTATTCAGGGTTGTCAGTTACAAACTTCTTCCTCAGTCTACTGATGCTGCATTTCAGACGTTTCTTATGAGGTCAGTTGGAGTGGACCTTTCACCAGTTTGACAAAGGCTACTGTTTCCTCTTTTCTTATTTTGTACATAACATCTGCTGTAACTATAGTTCTGTGGGCAGATGATTTATAAGTTATTACCAGTGGCAAAGAAACAAACACAACCATGCAGTTGATATTCTCAATGTGAGTTTTGAGTATTTGTGACCTGACAAAATAAACCTCTAAAACCAAACATGTCACTTTGTTTATTAAAATGTCTATGGATTAATTTATATATGTATATATGGATATACATTATATTACCAAAAGTATTGGCTCACCTGCCTTGACTCCTACTATGAACTGAAGTGCCATCCCATTCCTAACCCAGAGTTCAAATATGATGTCGCTCCACCTTTTGCAGCTATTACAGCTTCAACTCTTCTGGGAAGACTAATCCACAAGGTTGAGGAGAGTGTTTATAGGACTTTTTGACCATTCTTCCAAAAGCGCATTGGTGAGGTCACACACTGATGTTGGTCGAGAAGGCCTGGCTCTCAGTCTCCGCTCTAATTCATCCCAAAGGTGTTCTATCGGGTTCAGGTCAGGACTCTGTGCAGGCCAGTCAAGTTCATCCACACCAGACTCTGTCATCCATGTCTTTATGGACCTTGCTTTGTGCACTGGTGCACAGTCATGTTGGAAGAGGAAGGGGCCTGCT